AGGTAGGAAATGGCCTCCGGGAAAGGTAGTAAGCCGAGGGCAGTTGAACAGATTATCGCGTGGATGCCAGAGGGGCTTTCTAAATGATCTAGAAAGTGCCCTGAAGCTATTCAAAACTCCTCGAGCAGTGTCTGTGGGCTACGTCAGAATCGACTGCCATCAGTTTACGCAAACTTTTTCTATGCGCACAAAAGAACTACATTGAGGCGCCTCAGTTGCCATGGCTGAACTTCATCATTTCAATCGCACGCAGTTCATCCCATGTCACGGCGGCCAGTTTCCTCTGACGCGGATCACACTGTTGACGCCAATTTTGTCCTTCACAAACTTTAACAAGCGCTTGATATTTTTTCTACTAACTCGTGTATTTGACATAGTTACTAACGAAAAGTGAAAAATCGGGTTTACTAACTAAACTTAAATGACGGGAAGTCCTTTTCATGCAAACACAGACCGAAGAAGGCAGTAAATGTTGAATTACACTTTAAAATAGTCTGTTTGTGGACTCTTGGGGGATAATTTGTTGCATATTATGCGCAAGGTAAAGTACGGCCTTTATTGAACAGCTCGAAGTTCGAGTATGTACTGCAACATGGTTTGACGAGAATTGCCAGTTGCTTCTTCTTTCTATACATTGTTTAAGATACGTTGCACTAAGACAACCCTAGTTTCGCTTGATTGCGTTGATTGGGACGCCAAAGGAGTAGGGTTTTTCGTAACCTCACACGTGGGCATACCGGACAGTGACTAATAAAGTTAAATGGAACTGTCTGGTTTTATCGTAAACGTATCATTTCGTGTAGATAAGAGCAAGTTCTTTCCAAAATATTTCTTTGTAGTTATTTCTAGTGTTCGATTACTATGAGGTACAGATCGTTATTGAAATAGTGCTAACACTGCACGATTTTCAGCGTTTTCAATCGACTCCCCATAAATGGGGATTCTGCTCTACGTGTTTGCCAAAACCTCCAAACAAAGATATGTCTTAAATACCTTAACCTAAATTGTGTAATTTTAGAAATACTTTCTGTTGCAGCTGTCTGTTTATGTCATGTACGTAGCTGCACCCAAAAATGTCAAGTTAGTGCGGAGAAAAAGGAATGTCCACAACAAAAGTCACAAATTGATGTGCCTCAAGTCAATTTTAATGAACAAAATCAACAATCTTGTATGTGAGCTAAGCCACCCTCTCCAGATTTGATTTTCGTACTTCATTAAGTAGGCAATCTACTGTAATGTCTCTCCCGATCAATCGACTGATGATTGGTTCGTCACAATGCCTTATTGTTATGACTTCAAAACAAAGCCCGCCGCCGCCGCCGCCGCCTTCTGTTGCTTTTATTTTACGAAACCTAATCCAACCAAAGTCTCACCATTATCCCCGCGTGACCACGTCTGCGACTAGTTTGCCACGGATCAGTCTGTAGGAGCGTGGGCGTATACGATAGGCACAAAAGCACAGTGGGGAGCACCGGGGGTTAATGGAAGCATCAGTGTGGGCGATCCGTCCTCTCTAACCTTTGCATCTTCGCTTTATTCTTCCGTGCGCACGCCGTCTCCATGTCAGCATGGGAACGCGTTTCTAAGTAGTAGGTGTCGCATGGCAGTGCCGCCGCCACCTACGCCCACCTTTCTTTCCCATTAGCTGGAGAGGGAGGGAGGGAGAGGGAGGGGGAAGGGGGTGGAGCGAGTGACCATCATTTGCGCTGCATTGAGGGACAGCCGAGCCGGGCCGGGCCGCGAGCCAACGGAGTCTAATCTTCTGCGCATTTACAGCGTAGCAGAGAATCTTATAAAATACGCAGAAAAGTTGAAAAATACAACATACAGTAGATAGAAAGTACAGTGGCCAGGAGGCGGGCTTACGCTAGGCGGGGCAGGGCAGGGCTTTTTGCCTCAAATTCCAACGGTCCCCCCCCCACCCAGAAACGTCGTTTAACATCTAACCTTTGCTGACTTTTCGCCTGCGAAGATTGGCATATTATGTGAGAGATACGAACTTGGCAAGCTGCGCAAGAAAACAGCATTGACAGGAAGTAATCCTCTTACACATAAAAACGAAACTCGAAAAATAACTTGGCGAGAAAACGTGTCTTTTCGATAAACTTTCCTCAGACCTGTACACTTATGTCGTAAGTAACTGAATAAAAAATGCACTTTGGTAGAAAAAAGTTCTGCATTTGTGAGGGTCGGAGGGGGGAGGAGGAGGCAAAATTGGAGTCAGCAATCTGATCAGTGTCAGGGATAGCTGGCCGCCAGGAAAGTTAATAAACTGCGGGTGGCAGAATTGACGACTTTCGTCCATGGCAACTGTGGCATCCTTACGAAGTTGGCCGCATGGGCGGGCGCTTGACCAAAAGAGAACGAGAAGGTCTTCCAGCATGGTTAGGGAAGGGCCAAATAAATAGGATTAACAGTTACATCCTAGCGCACATGGAAGACTCAGATCATCGCGTAGATGCCGGGGAGGCTTTCCGAATGATCTACAAGGTGCCCCTCCCAATTTATTGAAAATTTCTTAGACAGCGTCTGTTGGCTACGGCAGAAGCGGCTGCAAACCGGTCCAAAAGATCTCCGCAAAGGCACTGTGGTTAACATGACTGAAAGTCGCCAGTCGCCGCGGCTTTTTACCCTTTCTAGCAGCCAGTTCCCAATGAGGCTGATCAGATAGTTGAGCACATAGTTGTACAAATAATAGGGACAATTGTTAAAGTAATCGAACTCTTAGTAACAAAAAACGCGCAATAATTTAGATGGGAAATGTAACCAATATGAAACAAGAACTGCGCAAATAGTACCCGCGAATTGGACACAATTGCATATCTACTCTATATCGAATAATCAAAACTAAAGGGAAACCATAACGGTAGGCTCTTCCCATTTTTTAAATCTCAAAATAGCTTCTAGGGCATTTGTGCAGATATTGTAGTAAGATAAGCAGATAAGCAGAAAAGCAGCCGAAAGTCGCTAATAAACCAAAAATAAACTAAACTAAAGTTCAGAAGAGTAATTGGCGAGCATGTGCAGGCTTTTGATAGATTCTCATCAGACCATTACATTACACGCGCTGCCATTCTGGGCACTCCGACAGAGGAGGAAATACAGGAATTCAGCACCTACACTCAACCCACAGGAAGAAAACGTGGAAACGCCAAGAAATCGTCACTCCTACAAAAAGAGTACACGAAAGCAAACTGCAGTCATGACTCCTTAAAGATCCAGAACAGTATGTATACAACTATTCCTGTCTGATACTTGAGAAAACGTTTCTCGAAGCATTATCAGTGGGTCCTAAATTCTGTATGCCTGGTTGAAAGGTTAATCAGTAAGAGTTAGAAAACCAGTTTGGGAATCTCTATAATCAAACTTCTGACCTCAAGCCGATCTCCACAGATAGTGTCCAGCACTTTAAATTAACACCGGCGAATTTTATTTACCCGTATCTAAACAAGAGACTAACACATCAGGGATTACGGACAAAAGCACACGTAGACAAGTTAAAACAGCTACGAGAGGGCAGAGGCATCTTGTTTACTAGACCGAACAAAGGAACAGATGTTTTAATGAACAAATCTCACTACGTAAAGGAGATACTATCGGAACAGACGAAATTTAAGAAATTAGATAAGGGAAAAGATTGTACGGATGAAATAGAGGTACACCTGACCGACTGCTTAAGAATACTCCACACGGCAGGATTCATAAGCGACCGCGACTTTGAATACCTCCGGCCAGTAGACACACACATCCCCCGTCTATATGGCCTACCAAAGATCCACAAGGAGGGCCTGTCAGTTCGTCCGATTTTTTACATGCGAAACTCGCCATATCATGCGATAGCGAAGTGCTTAGCAGAGAAGTTCAAACCCTTACAGCAGCAGCAGATAACACCACGTAGCTATCAAGATACGTTCAAATTTATTGATGACCTTAAAGACGTGAACTTAAACGGCATGATGATCTCCCTAGACGTCTCATGGCTGGTTACAAATTTTCCGGTAGGAATACCAACGGAAACAGTAAAGCAACTAATATTAGGATGCACATTAAATGTGCAGTTCCTTTATGACAACCAACTCTATAGACAAATAGATAGCGTCGCTATGAGCTCGCCTGTCGAGCCTCTCTTGCCTAAAATCTTCTTGGGCAAGCTGGAAAAGTTTCAACTCGGCGATCAGATCCATGAGTTAAAATACTACGGTTGCTATGTCGATGACATCTTCGCCATCGCCTCAGCAGCACACGTCTCCATTAAGTTCACGTTGGAGGTGAAAAAGGCAGCTTCGCTTCCTTTTTTGGATGTCTTCCGAAGTCGAAGACCTGACGGTAGCGTCCAAAGGAGCGTTTATCAAAAGAAAGCCTGGCCCTGACAGTATACAAACTTTAACAGCTTCGTACCTATCCGCAATTTAGTACACCGCTTAACGCAAAGGGATAGGAAAATCTGCTCAGCAGACACTATTGACATAGAGCTGAAGAAATTATATGGCCTGCTTCGAGAGAACGGGTATCCTGACAGATTTTAAGGAATATGATGGAGAGCGAAACAAAATTCGCTACACCCACTGTGGAAAAGAAGACGATATTCCTCAAAGTCCCCTTTTAAGGGGATGCGACAAGGGAACTCCTAAGTAGACGCCTTAGCCAAGCCGTGTCACAAACCTTCCCAGCAGCAAAAGTTCGGGTGTTTTTCTCAAGGAGTCGGCGCATATCCAAAAGAATATGGGAGCACCTCTCGGCATGGCTGAGCAACGGTGAAGTCAGGTGTATCAACAGCAACACTCTTGCCCACATGATTGACTCCGGACATCGTGCGGACCTCAAGGAAGCCTTCAAGGTGATTTACTAGGTCCCAAAAAACTTCCAAAAGTCCCTGGATCAGCGTTTGTTAGCAACAGCTGAAGCAACCGCGATCCGGTTGAAGAAGCTGGTTTTTTTGTCGCGCGAAAGAACCTCATGCAAGCTCCAAGCTTGACATGGCCAACGGTTACCTAAATGCCTGCAATTTTCAAGGCTTTCTCTCTTCCTTTCTTCCACCCTCTCCCTTTCCGCGTCAAGAAACCCTCATTGCCGTCTAAGCAGCCACGTACCGTCTATCCCCAACCTCCCTCCCCGATTCCCATGGCTAATTTGCCTGTTATTAACGTAATTAACACACGTTTACCTTGTACCTTTTACCCCTTTCCCATATAAATGTAATGACCCGAGAGAATTTATCGAAAGCTTAAGTATTCTCCGCAGTTACTCTTCTGATGCATTGCCTCAATACAGGACCCACTTTTGCATGAGAAAAAACGAAAATCGTCGGATTTTATTCCTCAAAAAACGGCCGAGAATTCCTTGAGGCCCTGCACTCCAATAATTCATGCATCAGTTGACATATCGAGTTGTATGGTGCATATAAACATCGTGAAGAAAGATGGAAGACACGACAAACGATCACTAGGGACTAACGTGAGCCGCAGCTGCTAATTAGCGCCCACACCGGATGACTGCTAATCTTCCATCCCGGTCTGACGCAAATGACAGTTGCCATTTAGCAATTATGCTATCACAACTACTAATTTTGCCCACCATGCACTGACGCGAATTGCAGCGGCCAATTAGCGCTCACACCAGATGACTGCATAATCGTACTAGCACTTATGAAATTTAATTTTTCGTTGCACATCTTCTCAAGTCTGACGACGAGCTGGGTATCCAGTGTCGAACATCTACTGAATAAAGTTGACTTATTTCCCAAAGATCGTCTTTTCTTGAAACTGCATTTCTTGGGATACCTGCCTTTCAACTGTTAATTCTGCCAAGTACCGTTTTTGGGAAAAATGCGTTCCACTTTGAGGGTAGCATCCAAGAATTTCAGCAAAAAATCCATCCATTCACCGAGACCACGCGATAAATGAACAAAACACCTAAAATCTAGAGGTTAACATAACATACACATTTGTTTTAGAGACAGGTACAATCTCGGCTTCCAGATTTACGTTTTTTAGACGTGGGCTAGGGTATTGGGAATGACCGTTAATACTGCTGGTATACCGATGTTCGACAGGGCATATGTCTGAAGCCTTGGCGTATAGTACGGAAGACTTAAAAACCATTAATGAAAAGTGGCGGAAATGCTTTAACTCATGATCAGCGATTTGCTTGACCGTTGTAAATCGTCGTTGTAATAAGAAGCACTGACACCTCAAGAGGGCACTCGGACGATACGCTCAAGAATGAACGAGTATTTTTTGAATAAGGCTGTAAAAATCACCGGAGCGCAATGGAGAATAAGTGAGTGAATGTAGGCATCTATAAATCACCAGTTTAGGATATAAGGTGTGTGATAGGAACTTAAATTACGTATACAAGTTAGGAGTTTACACATTTTAGTGAAGATTGTTGCAATATGAAGAGGAAACGAAAGATTAGATGGCGGAGTAATACCTACCAGTGTTTGGCTTATTTAACCACAAAAACAGAAAATAGTAGTCGAGTTTTCGCAGCAAGACTTTTCAGAACGTAAGCATAAATAAAGCTCCAAACCAGTTACCCTAGTTTAAGTAATATTAATTTGTTTGTATAAAAAACATTTTTATGTAGCTTTATTTACTCAGGCATTTAAATGGACAGGCTGCCTGCGGGTTTAAAATCATTTTTACTTATTTGAGATGAATTGTGTGTTTTTGAGGGAAAGCGATATCTCTAACAACACGTTTTGGAGTGCATTTATTTAATTGAAGTTTGTTATTTATTAATTGGAGATTATTTTCGATACATTCGATCCTAGTTCCGACCGGTTTAGCAAATGTTATTAATTTAGGCATATTTCAAGTTGTTAACAGATTCTGTACGGGAGGAATAGATGCAAACTTTTGCGTTCCAGGTGGTTGCATGAGTAAAGGACAATAGTGATTGAGCACAGGAACAGACTGTTTATTATCCTGAACTCTCGAACTCGTGCAGGAGTTCATTGTCAAAGGTAACACCGGCAGCAGTAAAGAGGCAACAATCAAAGGGATGCAAACCAATCAGTGACGCAAATCTGAAGGTGACTTTGCAGGAATCCGTAAGCCGGTGCCAAATCGATACGCCGATCAATTGAGTTTTCATTCGCAGACCAGACTTTAAACAATTCTCGGTTCGTCTTGTTTCTAATATGGGCGATTATTTTGACGGGTGTGTAACCAAACTTAGTCGCCGTTTCGCATGTGTTAGCAGCAGCTTAACCGAGTTTTAAAGCTCAGAATAACTTCCGACACTTTAGAACACGACCCTCCCCGAAAATCCCAATACGGTTGGCATCAAATAGATCCTATCGAGTCCGACTAGTAGAATGCAGAGTCTCAGGATCCAGATACTTTTATTCTGAAAGAAAAAAACGATTGCTAGCAGTCGGCTAGACCGGAAGAAGAATAGTACCAATTTGAATTACATAAAATGAAATATTGCTGCGAACGCTGATTGATACATTAACTGATCCGGGGGAAAAAGGTTAATTGGCTAAATCCACGTTCGTCTTCTCGGTTCATAATCGTTGTCCTCCAGACGTTATTTTTTTAAATACCGGCACCCACAAAGCAGGCGTCTGAGATTGCGGTTGTAATTGGTACATGCAAACATTGGCCAATCCAAATATTAATTCGTTCTGAGATATATAACTGACAGTGTACATTATAACAATTACTCCTAGAATTCAGCTAATTTTCGGAAATGAAAATAAGTTTGTGCTGCATTTATGAATGCAACTCACGTTCATGTAAAGGCTTGTTTAATTCATGGTACCTTTTTTCTTGACAGCTACAACCAACAGGTAAGAAATGAATCCCACTAAAGGAATGTTTTTGAGATTTTGAAGCAATTCATTGATCGAGCCAGTTGTTGTCATCATCATATAAAGTGATGGGCTGTTCAGCAGAGGCATGTTGCTTCGACCAAAAAATGTGACAAATTATTGGAACACAGTCTGATAGGAGGGGGCTCGTCAATCTGGTTAAGGAATAAGACTGTCCCGTTGTTCCTGCGGGCTCACTATAAAGCCCACATAGAAGGTCGCATAGCGACCTGTAGAATATGTTGAAGTGGAACCGACAAATACTAGGGAGACCAGAATGGCCATTTAGACTTATTAGCCGTCTTCAACCAGTCATACTCATGTCGGTTCAACCTCAACATACTCGGCAGCTCGCTACGCGACTGCCCGTGAGGGTTCTATAGTGAGATTCAGGCCACAAAAGGACGAGTATGTTCCTCTACCAGATCGGTGAGCGCCCTACTATAATAATATTTCCGATTCCAACCGACCGGGCAAAAAGCCCACGGTGCAGTGGCAGAGCGTTATGCTCCATTACCAAAGTTTCTGATTTGAATCTCGGATAATGCACACCTGGAATTGGGCATGCCTGGCTGATGACAGTTAATAAGCTAGAAATGTCCATTCTAGTCCCCCTTGTCTGTGTTGATTCCAATTTAATAAGTTACTTAGGAGTAAGTTACATTGACTACTTCCGATGAGGCAGAACTTTGCAGCAAAGCGTTTCCACAATTTCTCTTAAATCTTATGCGCTGTCTTGCTGCAAACTGTCTCTATCGGTGCTCGACTTACTTTGGTCAGTTGTTCCTAACATCGTTCAGTAGTAACAGTTTCAGACTGTGTCAACAACTCGTTGTGCACTTTTTTTAAAGTGCACAAGTACTGCAGAATGTATTGGAGCCAAGAAATGTCGTGAGTGTTCGTCAGCTGCCGCCTTTTGTTGCATAATACATGAAACTTGTTAGAGAATACAAAACTTTAATAAAAGCAAGGAAACAGAATTCCGCGTTCATCCACTACTAAACATTTGCTTGACATGGGTCACTCTGTGGACCTCAAAACATCCTTCCAAGTACTCGTTCGGGCACGAACAACTCGTATGTTAAAAACTCTTGCTCGAGCGTGAGTGCGAAAGCTCAAACGAATAGACATTCTCCCCCAGAGATCGCCTTACCTTCTCCTTCCATTCCAATACCTGGG